ACTATTCCAGATAGAATAATACACCCTACCCCCCCCCCCCTCCCCCCATCTACTTGAGGATAGAAAACAAGACTTTTAGATTTAGAGATAACTCCGGTCAAAGTGAAAAGCTATCAAAGGCGCGCTTAAGCCCTGAAGCGAGGCTCAAAACATGTTGAGCGCTTCACCTCGCTTAGCAGGCGCTTCAGTGTTGTCATCAAGGCTCTACGACATACTTTTCCTTGCCAATTAGCGTAATCCTGAAGAGGGACACTAAGCAATTGATATTTCACATTATCATAAATTTTCTTCAATTTCTTTGTCCATATATTTGATATTCATGGCCTTATAGATATTAGTGTTGGACTACACATACATATTTGTTATTTTTCTCCGTTTGTGCCTTTAGAGCTTTTTTGCGCCTTTATTTGAGGAATACATAAAATCACTTGTATAGGAGATATTCTGAATGCTCTACTATTTTTCTTCTTTTTGAATGTGTGTGTATATGTGTCTGGGATAGGGGTTCGATGAATCGATGACACAAAATGAATATTCCAAAGAGTTAAATCACTACATTTTGATAAGCGTTTTTCAAGAGGATGACATTAGAGTTCTGATATAGTGTGAAATTCAGTAAGTGTAAAAAGACCAAATAGGGGGAAGGACAATAACATCTCATCAAATTATCTATTATACAGGCAAACTCTTTACTGTGGCCTGTACAAGTAATCCATTAAGCAACATTTTCTTGCTCGTTGTAAACCTAACGTTCATTCGTTATATTCACAAATTCGTAATAACGTATTAGTAGATGTAGAAGATCCATAGTCTTCCCTAAAATCTGAGTTTGTGTGTCATTGAAATTTGAAGCTCTATTTTCTTACATACATCTGAATAACCACTTTACTTTCAGGTCACTGTAGCCCTGAGAGAATCAGGATTGGAGTCCTCAAATTTAATTATTGGGATAGATTTCACGAAAAGTAATGAATGGACAGGTCAGTGGTGCAGTTGAATTACTTTGTCAGTTCTATCGATTTCTGAGTATAAATCCTAAGGTCGCCATAGAATATGATGTTCTGACTATTGGCCTACAAATTGGGGTTAGAATTTGTTGGAGCATTTGACAAAATTAATACATTTCTGAAAAACTACTATCTATGAAAGCTACTTTGTTTCCTTTCACATGTGGCCTCTCTATCACTTAAATATGTTTCTTTTAGTTTGATAGTGTTCTGTTTAATAAGTTTATTCTGCTTGACATGACATCGGTATAAGATAATCTTTGATTTTTATTTTGGCCATTAAAATTTAGCTTATCCTGATGTGGCAATGGAAAACAGCTTGTGCCAACTGCCAAGCCTGATGCTATAGTATAAATACAATGATGTTTGACATTTTCAAGCTTTCATCGTATGTTTGCTGGTTCACTGGTTCAACTTTTTAGTGGTTAGACGTCTTTCAATTTTTTATATTGAAGATAAACATAGCTGTTTTCTTTCTGAAGGTAGAGATTCTTTCAACAACAAGAGCTTGCATGCAATAGGTGATTCGCTCAATCCATACGAGAAAGCCATATCTATCATTGGAAAGACATTGTCTCCGTTCGATGAAGACAATTTAATTCCTTGTTTCGGGTTTGGTGATGGTAAGGTTCCATTCCCCAAAATTGCTGTTTGCAGATGCTACTTCTCTATTGTTTCAGCATTCACTATCATCGTCTTTTTATCTTCCGTTGGATTTGTATATTTCTATTGAACTCATTTTTTATTTTGGGTTCTAGTGACCACGCATGACCAAGACGTTTTTAGCTTTCATAGTGATCACTCTCCTTGTCATGGCTTTGAAGAAGTCCTAGCTTGCTACAGGAAAATAGTTCCAAATCTGCAATTATCTGGTATCTTCTGTTTTAATTCGTAAATTTATGCTAATCACTAAGCAACCTCTATTTCCATGGGATTGTCCTGACTATGTGTTGATGTGTTCAAGGGCCGACATCTTATGGGCCAGTAGTAGATG